GGATAAGGGGCCAAATCAGGAAAAGTGAGGGAGGACTGCTCAGTGATTCAGTGCCTGAAAACTTGATGCATATCTTGATAGTGGAATTCACTGTGAAGTGTGGGACATCTAAACTTTCCAGTACAGCCCTCAAACATGATTCATATCAGCCAATATGCTGAGACGGGGGATGTCTAAGCTATGCACCAGAAAATGTCAAAGAGAGGGAAGCATCTAAAGTTTTATCTTTCTCCTGAATTTAGGGACTTTTCCATAGCTTGAATTAGGTTTTGTGGAACTAAGGTCTGCAACTAAAACACCTCGCCTGCACTTCTGCGTGGAGGTCGCATGCGTCAGGGAAGACAACAGTCTCCTGCTTCTCTTTCAGAAGATAGCCAACAAGAAGGGGGAGAAGGAGGAGGATGTGATATCACTGAACACATTTTGCATAATGGCCTTGCTGTAAAGGCGCTTGCCGCCTTCTCCTGACCTATTTTTGAATGGAAGTGTCTGTGGGAGCTATGCGATGTGCTGAAGCTGATGCTGTCAATATGCTTGAAGTAAGCACTGAGCACACTTTCTGGGCCACCGGGTGGACTTAATGCAAGGACACATTGTTTTGAACCCTGATGGACTGGGTGGGATAGATGTACGTTTACATATTTTGTTAGATATTTCATGCAGCTGAGAGAGTGTGTAAAGTGACCTAAATAAGGACACTTAGATGCCTGTGGACTATCATATGTGTAAGTGAGTAAGTGAAGTTTTTTAGATCACCCTTCTAAATTTGAGTGTTTAAATTGCACTTCAACTGTGTCGTGGGTGCCTAAGTGCTGTTTTGGATCTCGCCTTGGATTTTTGCACATTGCCTCTGCATATGAGTTTCTCGTAATTTTACTTTTTCAGCTTCTAAGTAGCAATCAGGTGTAACGGAGGAGCAATAAAAAGTCTGATCTGAGAAAATGTATTTTTACTCAGTGTTCTGGAAGCCGATATAAATTTGAAATGAGCCTAGATTTTAATCAAAATAACCAGATATACAGACAAATTAGGGAAAAAGCTTGTGTAGACCTTAAGTCTCTGGCAATTGTGCCTCCAAATTTAATTTTGAGATGTTTCTGTGCCTATTACATGTGTGTTCTGTTTTGTTTTATTTTTTAATTTCAAATACTACCGCATCATTTACTTAGAGGGTGTGACTTTCTAAGTAGGTAGAGTTGTATTGTCCTGAGAACTGTTATGAAAACATAGTGACAAGGAAATCCATAAGAGAGAAAATAGTATATGGAAAAATGTAGAAACATTTCTGTCTTTATCATGGGTTAAGAATAGTTTCTTATAAGCTAGAGATTCGTACGGGTTTCTTTCTGACTTTTAAAAAGGCTAGAAGCATCAAGGTTAACAAGATGGATACCTGAGTAGTAAAAAAGATGCAGACATACCTGTACACCTTTCCTTAGGTAAAGAAATGACTAGTTCTCTCCACTCCCAGATTTCTTTAGTGTAGTTGGTTCTGAAATAAAGCTGAACATCTTCATTCAACATATAAAATATTAGTCCATTTTTAAATTTTTTTTCTTATTTCCCTCAGTCAGCTGTTGAAGACTAAGCTGCAGAGATGCAATATAATTAAGTGCAATGAGAGTACCTAGAATTCTTCTTCATGAGGAGCTCTGATGTGTTCAGGTCTCAAAGACAAATCCTATCTTCTCAGTCCTCTCAGCTGATCTCTCAGTTCACAGTGATAATGTCCAGCAAACAGAATAGAGCAGATACTGAGAGAAATAAGGGTGAGAATATATAATTGCAAGCAATTGAGTTATCCTAGTTTAATGAGTTCCCACAAGCAGTAATCACTTGTAGTTTTCTATCTGCAATATAAGGGAGCTGAATACTAGGTATGCGGAGGCATGAGGGTTATAGAACACCGAAGACTAGAAGCTCTTTCCTGCTTGTTCATTGCTTAAATGAGACATGACACATCATAAGCATGGGGCTTAACCCTAAACAGCTACTTTAAGAGCCCTTTTTAAGGTATAGCTCCTGAAGATTGAACCTATATTGATATCTAGGTAAATCTGTGGATTATGGGCAATAATCGGTTAATCTCAGAAATGGGTAGGGTAGATGAACTCCTGATAAAACACGAACTTATTCAAACTTCTTCAGGCTTAAAGTGAATCAATTTCCAAACTCTCCTGGAATTTTAAAGACTGCATTTAACTTGCAATAAATTATACAGATATATGTGTGTGCATGCGTGTGAATATCTCTATATGTATATATAGAGATATATATGCATATATAGAGATATATATGCATATGTATGAATACATATTCATATTCACTTCTGGTTTTGCACTTCTGAATTCCAGCTGGCCTTTCTCATAGCATTTTTGGTCCAAATAGAAGAAAGTTTCAGAAAGTCTTCAAAAAAGTCTGCGCTCACTGTATTTCCCAAGCAAAAGTACTGTGATTTTCCGGATCTCTAAAGTACTCTCAGGTCCTGGCAGATTCTGGAGCACATTCCCCACAGTGCAACGTTGCTCTGGCACAGATTATAAGCAATCTACAATGACTCTGGATTTTAGATTTTTTTGGATATCTAGCATATTACAAAAAAGAGGGGAGTGAATTGATTTTTATTTTTCTTATGTCTTATGTATTCTCCCTTCTTCTAGACAGAAATAAGTCTAGTTAAACTGAGAGAAGAAGTGTAAAGTTCAGTGTTAATAAATGCTGACTATATTAAGAGAATTCTAACTATGCTGCTATGCTCAAATTTCTTCAAAAAATAAGAAAGATGGTTTTCTATTTCCAAAATATGCATTACCAATAAAAAATATACCTTTAAAATAGTAAGTTAATCACTCCCACACCATTTTTTCCTTCTTTTTTTTTTTTTTTTCCATATTCTCTGTTATATTCATCAGTCTTAGAGAGGCTATTTCTAGAGAAAGCCTAAGTGAAGATAATGAAGAAGAACTGGAAGTCTGTTCATGCTGTATGATGACACTTTCACACTTATACAGTGTCAAAGGACCTTTTTCTTGCTGTGTTATTTTTCTTATTAAAATCGGTGGCTTTGCTGGGAACTCTACGCCTATTTATACCAGGGCTAAATTTGTTTCTAATTATCTGTCTGACACAATTGCCATAGGAGAGCATGCCGTGTATGCCAGCGCCACACAGACAAGGAGTTAGTGAGAAGAGAAACATTCTGGATTTGGAATGTGAAAAGCAGCTGAGGAGTTCACCACAAGGCAGGGGTGTGAAAACTTTACTTACTAGTTGTTTTTTCCCACTGTGTCCACCCTGCAGCTGATGGCATAATAGAGTTGTAATGGTTTGCTTACAGGCAGTCAATTAGGCACCTACAGTTACTCCACAGGGTGTAGAATTTACATGAGTGGCTTGTTCATAAATAAAGAGAATTACTGCATATTTTGCTGAGATGTTCTCTTTTCGTAAGCATCGCTGCATTATTTATTTCAAACCATGTCACACTTACAGGGAAGTACTTTCTTCCCTCTTCTCGCCTCTTCACTATCAGGGTGGATTAACAGAGTCGTTTGTAATGTCCCATTTTCTCACACAGAACACATTTTCTTCCTGCACTTGATGAGCTAGAATTCAGACGTTGAAGAGTTAGCTTTGAATGGAGGACCCTGACAGAAGACCCTGAATATGAAAGAATTAGTAATGCTGTGTTGGTATTATAAATTCTAAAACTAGTTTTGCACCATATGGTTTTGAAAGGACTGCCCTACTGGAGGTGCTTTTAAAAAGAGATCAAGCTAAGCTCCTGACCGTTTAGGAAAACTGAATGTAAAATACTTTATTATACTTTTTGCAGGTGTACAAGTAAAGGACAAATTCTAAAACAAGGAATGACAGTCAGTATCCTTGCTTTCCTGAGTAATTTGGTAGGATTGGAGCAACTTTTCATGCCCCTTTGTAAACAGCTGCATAGTGCTTCTGTACTAAATTGAACAGACCTGAATGGTGAAGTTTCTGTATGTGATCAGCCAAGTAGACATTCTGATTTTCCTGC